GGTGGGGGGGGTCGCGGGCCGGAAAGGCGGCGGCGGCAGCGGCAGCGAAGAAAAAACCCTAAAAAAAATAGGAAAAAAATTGCCGGAAGGAGACACGACAGGGTGGGTAGCTGGAAAACGGAATGAGACACGTTCTCCGGGCACCGATGAACAGTGGGTCCACCGGGAGGTCAAGGATTAGGCTCTAGATACCATGTTGAGAGTAATGGTGAATGGAGAGAACATATTCCTTGTGTATTGCAAAGCACAAGATGTGTTTAAATACAAAGTAGTGGGCCTAGGCCCATAAGATAAAAACTATAAGATAAAAACTATAAGATAAAATTATATCTAACAAAACCCTAGTAATATATCCTTCTAGTGAAAGTGTTGTTATAGCTTGACCCAGCATGTACTCCTAGACAACTCAACCTTCGGGTAGGGATACATGTGTTTTTATTGGCGCTACATGCATATAGTTTAGGAAAGTCTAGTCTATGTTTGATCATAACATTTTTCTTGTGTTTGAACTATGTTTTAATTGATGTCATGATTGAATGAGAGATAAAATGAGTTGAAATTATGATATGGTTTGATGAAAAAACTAATTATTGGTTTTATATAATGTTGTGTGTGACTACTCGACCTTTTCTACATCAATAGCCGGAGTGAAATATGTTCCCACTCCCCCATTTTCCTTGTGGATGTTTTATATATGGTTGCAAGAGACTTTCTTTTACGGGGAATCTAGTTGATTGAAGGAACAACTTTGATACTTGTGATACCGAGGATCCTAGATTATGTTTCATGCTTTATGTTTTAAGAATTATAGTTTACCTCCTATAAAACATTTCTTTAATTTTGTAATAGTTAGGCATTGTTTTAGCTTTATTTGAATTTCAAATGTGATTCTCTTTATTTTTAGTTGAAGTTATTCCAATACCATATTTCTTTTTCATGATTATTATATTTATTTAATTATGTATACAGGGTAGAGGGTGTCACAATACTAGCTGCGAGGACATGATTAGGGTTTTGTGCATCTCCCAAAACTCTTAAAAACTCTTCTATGTTTTTCTCTCTTAGAAAGATGCATAGGTATGACTAGGTTAACCTATTTATTAATAGACTATCGTTGACTAAATTTGCCTCCTTATTGGTTGTTCAATACAAGTCCAATATCTTGTCCATTTGATTAAATAATATTTAATTTAATAATTTCGTCCCTAACATTTACTCTATGTGTGTGATCTCATGGGTTCTCACTTAACTAGCAATAATATTTAATATATATCATTGTATTAAATATTATAAACAAATATTAGCATCTAACAATGTGACATTGTCACTCAATTAAAGAGAATAAATCAATTATCTAATTTTAACCTTCTCACATGTAACCATAATTATGGTCCATATGTCTTTAATTGAACATAATACATAATAGTCACATCCTTGTTAAGTCTAATCAAATGTTTCTTGGTACCCAAGTAGACGTTCAAACATAAATAGACCCAATATCCAATATTGGTTGATTCCTGCAAAGCCACATATATTTCATGTATCACTTTATCGAAGGCCCAAGACACGTCTCTTGTTATGCATGAGGGGCAAATCTTCTCCACACCACTCACATCTTTCACATGATGCATTGCAGATTCAATTAACTACATTTATAACCACTCTGTCATGAATAATATTCGATATCATCAAAGCCTACAACTCTTACATATTGGAATTGTAAGGATTTCAAGTCAAATGACTACTCTACTATAGTCTTCATAAGAAACACTTATGATACTTGCATAATATTTTATGAAGCTTTATCATAGTGGATCCATCCAGTGTATACATTTATCCCAAAGTCGTGATACATGTAATAAACTGTAGGCCACGAGGATTGATTCTAACAATTATGACATATGTTACAATCATGTCACTTAATTAGTGTCATTAATCAACAACAATTACAAAGTTATGGAAATTCCTTTCTTTTGCTCTTATTCCCTCTATTTTCTATTATATGTAAAAAACCAACATACATTTTTTGTTTTTAAATAAAAGCAAATTTTAACTATTTTTATCTTATTTAATGAAATTATTCCTAAAATATTCATCATTTAATGCATGACCATTTTATGAAGAATATATAGAATTAGTAGAATTTAATATAGATAATTAATTTTCATAATATACGTATTTTTCTTTTTTTTACTTATAATAGAGAATAAAAGGAATACATCATAACTATTATGACATCTCATTTCAACTAACGTATAGACATGCTCCTAAGAGACATTAGTACATTACATCATACACTACAAAAAATGTGTGATTTGTAGATGTTATTTTGGTTGTTTCTAGAGGTTAAAAACCGCCACAAATGGTATTACCAGTAACCGTCAAATCTACAGTCGCAAAAAACGGTTTGTGGCGTATATTTTGTGGATGCTGGTTTTAGGTGTCAGAAACCGCCACAAAATTGTTTTTTTTTTTTTCATTGCTCAGTTGTGTTTCCTTTGAAATGAAAACTCTGGCACCTTTTAGGCGATTTGGGTTTGTCTCAGTTCATTGAATCAGTTTCTATAAATTTATCTTCAAATACATGATCCTATTTTATACATAAGCAACAATATCAAAATAGAAGCACGAGCACAAGTGCACTAGAGAAGCATAAACAAATAAGCATATACCTGTATAGCTGGTCCAGCTGCTGTGTCCTGTAGAAGAGTTTGAAAATAGTCATTTTCATGGGGCAGTGACCCATTGAATTCATTCTTACATAAGCTATCAGTAGAGTAATGAACTAATGACAGTAAGGGAGTGATAGCTTCAAATCTGAGTGCCTCTTGTGCTTTGATTCATTAGTGGCGGCATATCTCTTGATAGCTCTTAAACTCGCCCACCTATGCAAAGTAAAATACATGGAATTCAGCACATGATAAATTTTAATATGAAATTAAAATAGAAAAACAACAACTCACATGTTTGTTGTATCGATAAGTTTGAAATTGTCCTGCAACTTCAACACAACAAACATGAAAAATAAATGAAAATAAAAAAGAAAACACTATTGCTATAATATTCTCACGAGTCTTGTCAGCAAATCACAATAAAACTTTTATAACTATTGCATAAGATGAAACAAAATAATACAAATGCACATATGTTGTCAGAATATATATATATATATATATATATATATGTATATATATATATATATACTTACATGTTTATCTTGGTTTCGAGCAATCTCTCGATGCTGCATAGATTATCAAACATAGTGTTAAGCCAAAGTTGTTTCCCAGTGTATGTCTTAAATTTTTTGGATTAAAACTTTTGCAATATATGCTCATATAATAGGTTAAGCTTACACACACATTGAAGACCAGTTCATTAAGCATCAAGCAATTCCAAGACTAGCACAAAATATTGAAGAGACTAAAGGGGGCAAGTAACAATGAAGGGAGAGAAAATATACCTTAAACTTCGTTGTGGTTAAGATTAAATTAAATGATTGGCTTGGGGTCACCTGGGAAAAAAGGAAGAAAATGAAATAGAAAACTCATATATACCTTAAAAAGGGAAGTGGCAGCATTTTATTTGGTAGATAAAATTTTTCTATTTAAGAAGAGTGAAATGGCACGGTTAGTAGATAATACTATAATCCAATTTGCATGCTAGATTAGTGAATGCAAAATATTATGGAATCCTAAAAATGGAAAAAGGGATCCCATGAATAAACCGTTACCCCTGAATCGTCCAACTCTGCATCCACAAGGATTTAGCAAAAGTATTCTAGTTGAAAATAAGGAATAATAAAAGAAATAGAGGAATTCTATTACTTTGCCTAACAATACATGAGTTAGTTCTCTATTTAATAGAGTAACATATACCAATAACAATGGTAAATGCTTAGTGGTTACAAATGAAGGAATAATAACACCCTTAGTAGCTCATAGTTGTGTACTCTACAAGATGATTCATTTTCCAGAATTCTTATATAAAGTCTAGAAGTTTTCATGCAGGGGACAGGTGTTTTGCCATGAATATTATATACCTTTTGCACACGACCGGGAAGTGCAACCAAACGACTCTTGATCTGTCTTACACGTTCAAGATTGAGTGTGCTCAGTTGAGAGGTCAACTCATCTAAAGCTGGGTAAGCCTCTTTCTCCAATGTTGAAGTCTAATATAGACACAAGGCATAGAGCTTGTAAGCATAAAGAAAAAATCATGTTAAAGATAAAGAAAGGAAAGTTATTCACACAGACGCACAATAAAAGAATTCAATATCAGCCATCAGTTGGTCACCAATTCTCCCCCCAGTCAACTACAAAGAATTCAATATCAGCCTATTTACTCAAAAAGTAACCAATAATTACAAACATAAAAGAACTGTTTGTGCAAAAACTAGAGAACGCAGCTTCAAAGACAACAAAAGGGTAGATCCAAGTTGGGATTTGAAAAACATACCTAAAGTTTTTCACACATGTAACTGAAGGCAGCAAGATAAAGTAAAAGTAAAACACATAACGCTTACAAGAGTACCATCACGACCAGCCAATGGTGAGTCATTTACACCAAAAGTCATGGAAATTGTTGGAGGGTCCCATTCAATTGTGGGCAAAGCAGACATAACCTGGGACATTAAAAGATTTACTACAATCACCAATTACATGCTAAAAAGTAAAAAGGTTCTCAAAATACAAGAATATTTTTCATAAAAATTAAGTACAAGTAAATTTTATAAACAAACAAATCAATTTATGCCAATATTATATTTATCTACATATTGGCTTAAAAGAATTAAAAAAAATGCAAAGGCCACATCAAATGAATGATGGCCAATTTCAAGAAGTTAAACGGCAATAAAAAATAAGGAACCAAGCCAAATATATTATATACATATATGAAGAAAAAAATAAATACCTCCACAGTAGCCACTGTATGGCCAATTGACGGACTTGACAGGCCAGCAACGGATATTATATCACCAGCTCCAGCACAATCAATTAAAACCATGTTTGTACCTTTCTTCTTCATAAGCTAAAATTAACTAGTTATAACTTGAACACCATGCCGTTTCTAAATTAATTTGAATTGATTGTAAAGCTTTCTGTAAACATCCTAAAGCATTATAAACATACTGAGTAGGTGACTATTGCTTTTGGCTTATATTACATGCTGATTTGTATGAATAAAAGTTGAAGTTAACTCTCCATTTGATCAAAGCAGGATGGAAAAGGTGGAAACGGTAAAATCTCCAATGTTAACTATGATTTTGATGCTACACGAATAATCTTGTTCAGAAAAATGTAGTTGCTATATTGAATGGTTGGAAGGCATAAACAGAAACATCAGAAATTTGTTTACCTTTACCTAAATCTATTGTAGGAGAATGATTATTTTCCATTAAAATTCATGTGCCTTAAGCAATCTCGCTTTTGATGTTTGCATCAATGCAAATAAGAAAAAAAATACATTCCAGAGTCTTGTGCTTGAAATCTTACTCTTTAAAGTTCCAATGAATAGGAAATCAACTTTTCAGAGGAACAAATTCAATCCTCTGATTCTCTTGCAGAGATTCATGTGCCTTAATTGGAGAGCTAAAAGTGAAAGTAAGGAACCCTGAGATTTAGAAATAGAAAATAATTTCAGATCCATAAAAAGTAAAAGTGGTTGCGAGAGCGTACCCTTGCTTGCACTGATGAGGAAAAAGCCATCGGGCGTAACAGAGCTGTAGAAGAGATCAACGACGGGGCGAGAGGGGAACTGCTACCTTTTTCTTCTCCATTCTCCAAAACTATTATTGTGATAGCTGAAGCTTAGTTAAATCGAAATGATAATTATTATTATTATAAAGAAAATTGATGTGATTTTTTGTTACGGAAGTGTGAAACCCTAAATCTATGGTCACTATAAGTGGGTGTATATTGGTGTTATTATAGTGAATAGAGAATTTCACAACAGAGACTGAAGTGAATATGGTGTGCGGAATTGGGATCGGAAGGAAAATATTGAAACTATTTCGAATTAAAAAAATGAAAATAAAAAATTGATGGCACATTTGTATTTTTTTTTCCCTTAACATGAAAATAATAAAATAAAAAAAATGGTTGCCACGTGTACCAATGTTTAATTATTGTGGCGGTTTTAAACCCCTGAAAATATTATTCTTTTTGTGGGCTTTTTGACCAAAGTAGGGCTGTATGGAAACTTATTTACGTAAATGGGGCTCTTTAGAAACTATTTACGCCTTTGGGGCTGTTTACAATGGTATCGCTATGGCCTATAGCGACACCATTGCCACGTGGCTTTTTTTTTGTGTGGGGTGGGCTCGAATGAGCCATACCAGTGTCGCTATGGGCTGAGGCAACACAAATAAAAATGGTATAGCCCATAGCGACACCATTTAAGAAAAAAAAACAAAAAAAAGTAAAAAAATTTAAATCTAAGTTTAAAAGAATCAACTGAGTTTACTTATTATATATTTATAAAAATAAAATAATGTATGACATAATTTTTGGTTGTGTTATGCAAAAACTACCATCATTCAGGTAGTATTATAAAAATTGTTAATATTTGAAGGTAGTAAGTTGTATAAGTTAGTGTTTCTACAACAACAAAAAGGTACAATACGGTCCCCAAAAGATGAACATCATTAAATACACATTTTGTAGCAAAAGTAATCCTAAAAAAAATGTATTCCTTTCTCCTCTGTTCCTGTTATGGTTCTTTTTCTGGTGCACTTGGTCCTTCTAGAGTTGGTCCTTCTGTAATTGGTGTTTCTGTTGTAGCATTCTCATCATTCAGATCTACTTGCTTTTTTGTTGTGGTTACTCCTTTGGAGGGTCTTCTTGGCACCAATTTTGGTCTCATGTTTCTTCCCTACAAAAAGGTAAAAGATTAGTATTTGTATATAAGCAATGAATTTGTTATTATTATAGCATATACCTTCTTTCTTGTGGTAACTCCTTCAGGTGCAACATGTTGTGTATATGGTCCAACATTCAGATCTGGTGCTGGTGTTTCATTAGTGTGTGTTTGATTGGCTAGTTGTTGTGTTGGTGCTAGCTTTGCACAAGTTATGGTGTTATGTCCTTGAACACCACATCTCTTACACCTATACTTTCCAAAGTCCCTTGTCAGTTTTGTCACATTTGGGTCAATTTCACCTAGTTCTCTTCTCACCGCTATCATTTTGACATCCCATAGCAAAGATAATCCTGGTAAAAGGTTTTGGAGATGTCGTAATTGGAACGTAAGTTGGTTTTAATTTTGTGCTTTGCAAATGGCATCTATTGGGTTAGGGTTTAGGGTTTTCCTTTGTTTATAACAATTTTGTTTAAATTTTTGGTTGCAGGAACCTAAATGTTGCAATTTTTTTCTTTGGGTTAAAGATGGTGACAACACATCTGTGGGTGAATCTGTCTTAGGGAGTCACATTCGCGAAATTGAAAAGTTGAAGTTAAGAATTAGTACTTTAATGGATGTAGAAAAAGCAAATGAAGAGAAAATTGCAAAAAGCAAAAAAGAAATTGCAGGGCTTCAGGAAGAATGTTCTGTTGTTCATGAGCAACTTGCGTTATTGAATTTGAAAATTTCACACAAGAAGAAAAAGATTTTAGTTGAGAGAAATAGGGTCAAGATGTTAGGATTTGTAGTGATAGTGCTTTAGGTTTTCATGACAGTTATAAGCATTATAATAGCAGTCAATGTTGGTAGCAAAAATGTACACTCTTAACAGTTTGTAATTGAATGCAATTTGATGGTTTGAATGTAGTTTAATGGTTTGAATGCAATTGTGAACTATATTTAATTGAATTGATTTGCAAAAATAATGAAGGTTTATCTGCACTATAAACAAGTATGTTTTGAATATGTTTTGAACTAAAATAGTATTCAATTGAAATCAATACACTCTTAACAGTTTGTAATTGAATGCAATTTGATGGTTTGAATGTAGTTTAATGGTTTGAATGCAATTGTGAACTATATTTAATTGAATTGATTTGCAAAAATAATGAAGGTTTATCTGCACTATAAACGAAAAAGCCTCTTTTTGTGGAGGTGAAAATAATTGTCAGAAATATAATATTTTGTGGCGGTTTTTTAAAACCGCCAAAAAAAACTCATGCTAATTACATTATTTTTTATAGTGATACAACAAAACCATTATTTGTACTCATAAGTGTTAAACTAAACCTCAATTAGGAACTAATTGAGCATTTAACTCGATCATACGCTTATCACATGCCTCTCTTACCTAAGTTTTAATCGTATTTAATTATCTTAATTAAGTGTATCATATATACTTAATTATCTAAATTAAGTGTATCATACTTAATTATCCTAATAACTTTACCGGTGCATTAGTTAACCTTAAACCTAATTAGATTAAAGTGTTAATCATATTTAATTTTCTTAAGCGTTAATTAATTATGTTTAGGCCTAATCACATTTAAGTCCTAATCGTATTTAATTACATTAATGCTCTTTACCTATTAGTACTAATGAAGCTAGTCTTTATCACGCTTAACTAACTTAAAGATCCGTACTTTTATACTAATTAAATTAGCCTTAATCATGCTTAATTAACCTAAAAATTTTACTTAAGGACTAATTAAATTAGCTTTCTTCATACTTATCTAACATAAAGATACTTACTTAAGAACTAATCTAGTCTGACTCCAATTACAAATTCTTAATCACTCATTAATTATCCTTGCTCATGTTACGAACTTTTTAAGTTCAATCTTTAATCATGAAGCTAAAATAACATAATTAAAACAAGAGTGAATCATCTATATACTACTAGTGTAAAGTTTTTTTACACTGACAACCAATTAATCATATATCTTGATAGTACCATGTCATTTGCTCATTTAATCAAATAAAAGTAAAATAAAATAATTTAAAAGATATGATTAGTCGTCCGTGTAAAAAACTTTACATTGGCTGTAAGACCCGCTTCTTCTTCCTCCTTCACCTCAACACTCTTATTTTCTCCTCACTTCCTATTCTTTGGTTTCAAATTCTTAAGCTTCCTTGTGGTGATTGTTGTGGTTGAAGGTGCTGAGTAGAGGCGTCAGGAGCTAGTTGGAAACCCGACCCTTCTTCTTTTCTTCCTTTCCCCGAAGCTTGGATTCTACTTCTCTAAGGTAAGGGAAGTTATATTGTAAACTTGGTTGCTGTATAGGAAATTTAGAACTCATTGGGAGTAAGAACGTTGAGAATTGTTGGTTTGAAGAAATTATCATTTTTGGGGTTTTGGGAAAATTGGGAAAAATGGTGATTTTGATGCGTTTGATGGTTGCATGTTGAAATAGAGTTTGTTTTTGAGTCGTATGATGTAAATGTAGTTCATTTCATGGATTGCATGTGTTTGAGTTGGCTGATTTGCAGGTTTTTGTTTGAAATTTCGAAGTTGTGAGGGTTGTTGTTTGAATTTGCGCCGGGCGTAGTCCTTGGCATCGGGTGTGTGTTCATCAGGGAACTCCATTGTCCAAGCACGTCGGGCGCGAGGTTGGTTGTGCCGGACGAGGTTGGGAATGGAAGTCTCTGGATGAATCATGTCGGGCGTGAGGAGAACTGCGTTGGGCGTGATATCAGATAGTGGCTCAAAATTTTGAGTTACTGATATGGCGCTGGGCGTGATTTGATCTCGCCGAGCTAGAGACTCCTTGGGGGTCTCTTCCTGGGGTGGCGTCGGGCGCAGAAAGAGCATGCCAGGCGTGAGACCCTGGTGAGGTCTCTGCCTTAATTGCCCCGAGCGCAAGTTTGGTACGCCGGGCTTGGGAGAATTTTGGAAGTCTTTACCTACCCATACGCCAGGCGTGATGATGATACGCTGGGTGTGGAAGAGCCTTAGAGCTCTCGGGCTGGGTTCAGGCCGGGCGCAAGTTTACTTGCGCCGGGCGTAGAGGTATTTTATTCTATGACTTAGAAAATGTTGAATTTTGTATATGATGAAAAGATGTAGCTATGTGACGAAAGTTGTATGTGGCACTATGTGTTGAAAGATATTATTTTAAGTTGTTGAGTTGATCATGTTGTTTAAGTTGTTGAACTGAGTTGTGCTGTCGAGTTGTAAGATGATTAAGCTGTGATGATGAGCTGCTGATCACTAGGACTAGGGGAGATATTTTCAAAGTTGCTCATCCATTATGTGGATTGAGAAAGCTGTGGTGCTCAGAGAGCCCAATTTGTTGAAAACCCTCCTTGGCAAGTTGTCCCTTGGAGTGGACATTGTATTGTTCTCCTCTAGGACTTAGTTGGTTCTGTGTGTGGGCAAGGTCGACGCACACGTGTACAAAGCAACCACGATATAGGGGTCAGGCGAGCTATACCGATTACAAGCGGCCAATTTGAGTAAAGTACGAAGTCGAGAACTTAGTTCCTAACCAAGTATCGGAGGGTTGTAGTATTTGGGGGATAGTCGGTAGGCTAATCCCATAAATGGCTTAGTTGAGCTAGCTAATGTTGTGGTAGGCCTAAACCCAGTTGTTTTATCCTAACATAGTACTATACTTCCTTGTTTAAGTGGCAAAGTCTGAGAAATCATTATCGTGTTGTGGATTGGCATCCAAATTTGTTGTTTACCTAGCAAGACCAAAAAGGTTCTTTGTTGTTGGTTTGGTAGGACCTAGCCACTTAAACTTCTCACCCATGTTGTAGGAGATCTCCGAGTTAAAATGCGTGACGACGCATAAGATGTTGATGTGTTTAATTGATGTTGATATAAGTTGTATATGTGCTTTTGTGTTGTGAAGTTGTGATTATATGAGTTGTATATGTGTTGTTGTGTTATGAAGCTATGATTGAGTTGTGTGTTTATGATGGTGTTATTAAGTTGAAGGCTGCTTATATATATAACTATATGTTGATTTCTTTTTCACTAGCTTACCCTTGCATGTTTCCATGTGGTTTGGACTACGATGATCATACTGTGTATGAGAGTAGAGTAGGGATAGGCTAGAGAGTAGTAGCAGGGCAGCAGGTGGTAGCAGGAGCTGATTTTTGTGTAGGCTACTCGGTGTAACATTTTGTTAGTATTAGATACTTTGACTTGTTGAGCCCCAGGCTGGATATATGTATATGTATATACTCCTTTATATGCATATTCTACTTCTGTGTGGTGTTGTTCTATAGTGTAACAGCTGGGCGGGTCATTACACTAGTAGTGTATGGATGATTAACTCTTAAAACAAAACATAGTTATTGAAGTTAAACTCGAATTTATCTTATTAACTCCAACATCTCCATAGAGGATGCATTTTACTTAAGATATAATTATGCTACTCAATCACATACCCATTAGAGACCTTATAATCATTCAATTAGCATGTGAACATCAAAATAAACTCAAACATGGTAAACAAAATAGTCTCTTATTATTCAATTAGCTTATCAACATTAAAATAAACTCTAACGTAGTAAACAAAATAGAACAACAAGCATGTTCTAGTCCAACAAATTTATATCTTTAGCATAGTAAATGATTTATAATTGTTACTCCACTGAACCTATATTTAAGAGGAAAAAAATTAAAAATTTTAATTAAAAATATACCCCAAATTTGAAACTAATCGAGGAAGAAGAAGAGAACTCGAAACTCTGCACTACCACACCAAAACAAATTGAGCAGGTGGATTCAAGTCTCTAAGCACTTGAATTCAAAATTAGAGAAGGAAAAAGAGAAGATTTAGAAAAAAGAGAAGCTCATGAACCAAAGTTCAGCTCTTTAGAATCCTTTCTCTAAGCTTCTCTATTGGATTAAGTTACATGTTTACCGGCTATTATAGGTTATCAAATCTATTTATATATGGTTATAGGTTATCTATTATATATACATCCCTTGTACTGTACTAGGGTGCAGAAAATTCAGATTAATTCATTTTTGCTTCCCTTCGCTGTAGCTGATCCTATTGCATTCTTCACTTTCTTTGTTCACAAGGAGTTCATACTCCTAATATGGTATTAGAAGAAATCAACTCAAACATGACAACACAAACGAAAGATCCTAGCCAAGATCCAAGCAATCCTCTCTTCCTACATCATTCGGATGGACCCGGGCTTGTCCTCACCTCTCAGCCTCTTGATCACAAAAACTATACCACATGGAGTCGTGCGATGCATGTGGCTCTCTCCGTGAAGAACAAGCTCGCCTTCATAGATGGAACCCTCCCGAAACCCGCTGCCACAGATTCTACCTTTGCTACTTGGAACCGTGGAAACAATGTGGTTATATCTTGGCTTTATAACTCTGTCTCAAAGGATATAATCACAAGTATTCTCTTTGCAACCACTGCAAAAGAGATTTGGGATGACTTAAAAACAAGATTTTCAAGAAAGAACGGACCTCGGATATTTCAACTCAGGCGCCAATTGATGTCGCTGCAACAGGGATCAAATGATGTCAGCACATACTACACCAAATTGAAATCAATATGGGAAGAATTAGCTGGTTACAAACCAAATTTTCAGTGCACCTGTGGAGGACTTCAATCCCTTCAAGAACACACACAATCTGAATATGTCATGTCCTTCCTTATGGGCCTAAATGATTCTTTTTCACAAATTCGTGGTTAGATCTTACTCTCTGATCCTTTCCCTTCAATTGGTAATGTTTTTTCCCTAATTCTTCAAGAAGAAGCTCAGAAAGAAATTGCTATTACACACAGTTCTTCTAATGATTCTGAACACATGGCTTTTGTTGTGAATCAACATGCTAAAACACATTCTGATAGCAACAAAAGTGGATTTACTAAGAAAGAAAGGCCGAAGTGTGCTCACTATGAGATGTTCGGTCATACCAAAGATAAATGTTACAAACTTGTGGGATACCCCCCTAACTATTTCAAAAATCGTCAACCAAAAGCTGTGAATCAAGTTGAAAACTCAACTGATTCCTTGAATTTGAATTCCTCATCTAATCTGACTCATGCTCAATGCTAGCAGTTGATCACTTTTCTGACTAATCAAATGCAGTCTGATAATAATCCTGATGCACTAGCCACCAATGTCACAGGTATTTGCATGAATGTAGAGTTTCCTGACAAAGATAACACTTGGATCATAGACTCAAGGGCTACATCTCATATATGTCGTTCCAAAACCATGTATAACTCATATTCACCTCTTCATAATTCTAATGTTTTGTTGCCTAATTCCACTAAAGTTAAGGTAGAAGGAATAGGGAGCATACAGCTGAATGATGATATTTTTCTACATAATGTTCTTCATATACCCAATTTTAGATTTAATTTATTATCTTTATTAACTCTCATCAATGAGAATTGTTTCAGATTTGTTTTAGACACTAACAGCTGTATTCTCCAGGACCTCAAGACCTTGAGGAAGATTGGCATTGTTAAACAGCATCACGGGCTCCTCTTCTTTGATTTTCCTAAGTCTGGTTTAAATTCTGTTTGTAATCAAATTTGCAATTCTGTTACGTATGACACTTGGCACCAAAGATTGGGTCATGTACCTACTTCTGTATACAAACTTATTGCTAATAAAACTCAATTGAGTGCTATTGATTCTAGTTTTCATTGCAGCACCTGTAATCTGGCAAAACAAAACAGATTACCTTTCACAAATCCCAACAATTTTAGTGCTAACAGTTTTGATTTAATTCATGCAGATATTTGGGGACCTTTTCGGGAACCAACCTATGATGGATACAAATATTTTCTCACCTTAGTAGATGATATGTCTAGATTTACCTGGATATACTTACTAAAGAACAAATCTGAATGCATTAACATAGTACCACAATTCTGTGCTTATATGGAAAATCAATTTCAGTTTACTATTAAGATGTTTAGATCTGACAATGCTAAGGAACTTGCTTTTAAAGAATACTTCTCTAAAAAAGGCATCATGCAACAATTTTCTTGTGTAGAGAGACCACAACAGAATAGTGTTGTGGAAAGAAAACACCTACACATTCTTAATATTGCTTGGGGTTTAATGTTTCAGTCAAATGTTCCTCTCAAAGTTTGGGGTGATTGCGTTAAAACTGCAATGTTTCTTATGAATAGAACTCCTAGTCCTATTCTAAATTGCAAATCACCATATGAACTTTTATACAACAAACTTCCTAACTATTCTTCTTTCAGGACATTTGGCGCATTATGTTATGCATCTACTCTTATTTCCAGCAGGCATAAGTTCAGTCCAAGAACAATTGCTGCTGTCTTCATTGGTTACCCTCAAGGCTACAAGGGATACAAACTCCTTGACCTTAGCAACAATCAGGTTTTCATCTCCAGAGATGTCCATTTCTATGAGCACATCTTTCCTTTCAAAAAGATGCCAACTGCACAATCAATGAGGATGCTGTCATTTTTTATATTACACCCAACTTGGTCAATCCCAACAATGAACCTGAAATTGATGCTGATGCAGATCTTCCTACTTCAACATCTCATTCATCCACATCACAGCCAGTCGTCAACCAGCCTGATTCATCTAATGATCCTCCAAGGAGATCAACACGAAACACAAAATCACCTTCCTATCTGTCAGACTACCATTGCTACAATGTGAGCACGGAATCTACAATCATGTATCCTATACAAAGATATCTAGACTACTCCAGACTTTCAAAATCTTACAAACATTTTATATGTCAAATATCAAAAAAATTTGAACCCCAAACCTACAACCAAGCTATCAAACATAAACATTGGCGTCAAGCAATTGAAGATGAACTAGCTGTAATGGAAGTCAACAACACCTGGACAATCCAGCCTCTGCCTCCTGACAAGAAACCAATTAGCTGTAAATGGCTTTTCAAACTCAAGCTTAATTCAGATGGAACAGTTGCCAAACACAAAGATCGGCTAGTAGCAAGGGGATTCACTCAACAATATGGCCTGGATTTTCAAGAAACATTCTCTCCTGTAGCAAAGATCACAACTCTTAGAGTTTTACTAGCTTTAGCAGCATCCAAAAACTGGCACCTAGCTCAACTAGATGTCAACAATGCTTTTCTCAATGGTGACCTTGAAGAAGAGATATTCATGAAAATTCCTCAAGGATATGTTTCAACAAACACATGCATAGACTACACCAAAGCTTCATTGGTTTGCAAACTCAACAGGTCAATTTATGGCTTAAAGCAAGCGTCTAGAAGTTGGTTTAATACTTTCAGCACACTCTAATCTCACAAGGCTACAAGCAGTCCAAGTATGACTACACTCTATTCACAAAAGGTTCAAACTCTACATTCATAGTTGTTCTAGTGTATGTAGATGATATTGTGCTAGCTAGTCCAAGCCCGAATATGATCCACATGGCCAAAACAATGCTACAGCAACACTTCAAGCTAAAAGACTTAGGAGATCTCAAATTTTTTTTAGGATTGGAGTTGTCAAAATCGAAGGAAGGCATTTATCTATGTCAGCGACACTACACACTAGCCATACTTGACGATTCTGGTATGCTTGCTTGCAAACCTTCAGCCATTCCAATGGTGGCGAATCTTAAACTTCATGCAGAATCCGGAACAAAGCTCCCAGACCCAAGCATATATAGAAGGCTAATTGGGAGACTCTTGTATTTAACAATCTCTCGCCCAGATATTTGTTATATTGTCCACAAGTTGATTCAATTTGTGTCCAATCCTCACACTGACCACATGAATGCAGCAACATTGTTACTTCGATACCTCAAGCATACTGCTGGTCAAGGTGTTTTATTTAAAGCTAATTCTGACACAAGGTTGCATGCTTATGTTGATGAAGATTGGGTTACATGTAGTGACAGTAGAAGATCCACAACAGGGTTCTACGTGTTTCTGGGAAATTCAGTGGTCTCTTGGAAAGCAAAACGCCAGAAAACAGTTAGCAGGTCTTCAGCTGAAGCTGAGTACCGATCTCTTGCATCTGTGGCAAGTGAAATAATTTGGCTGAAAAACCTCCTAACTGACTTTCACGTTACAACTACACATGCAGCAATTTATTGTGACAATAAAGTCGCTATTCATATAGCCTCCAATCCAACATTCCATGAAAGGACAAAACATCTTGAAATAGATCTTCACTTTGTGAGGGAACAAGTCACAAGAGGAGTTCTAAAATTATTCCATGTTCGAAAGTTTCATCAGCTTGCAGATGTATTCACTAAAGCTTTGCCAAGAACTGCTTTCCTGAGCATATTGTCCAAGATGGGAATTGACAACATCTTCCTCCCATCTTGAGGGGGGGTATTGGATTAAGTTACAGGTTTACCGGCTATTATAGGTTATTAAATCTATTTATATATGGTTATGGGTTATCTATTATATATACATCCCTACTAGGGTGCAGACAATTCAGATTAATTCATTTTTGCTTCCCTTCGCTATAGCTGATCCTATTGCATTCTTCACTTTCTTTGTTCACAAGGAGTTCATACTCCTAATATTCTCAGAGCTTTAGTTTATGAAACTTTATTCTAAATAGACATATTATATACTATTTCTTCCAAAGTCAAATAAGATCTCTATCTAAAAAAATTCCTAATACTATGGAAACTTCTACAAGATCTTTAAACTCTAAAGTCTCTCAACACTGAATAACATTTCAACTTAATAATAAGAAATGATTAAAACAATTATAACACTCTAAAATTACACCCTCCTTTTTTTTAATTTACTTATATATTTATTTATTTGTTTTGATTTTTTTATTTTTAAAAATTTAATAAATGAAGATAATTTATTTTATTTATTTATATATATATATATTCAAGATTCGTTTAACATATATATATATATATCAATTTTTTTAAAAAATATATTACTTTCTTTTTTTAATTTTATGTAATTTTTATTATCTTTTTTATATATAAAATAATTGGGGGTCGTTGGTGGCTATCTCCTTCCTTTTTTAAAATTTACTTATTTATTTAAAAAAAATAGTGGTGTTGGTGGCTATAGCTAATAATTTTGTTGATGTTACTATTAACTAAGTGACATTAGTTAGATTCAAACGACTCGTTAAAATTTTTATAAAAAAAATACTCATGCCACCTAAATCGTTATGGACAACATTATATAAAATAGTCTTAAAAACATAAAAAAATAATACAAAATAATTCTATTTACATAAATAATTTTAGAAATTACCTACAAAGTTCAAAAAGTCATATACAATGAAAAAGAAAATAATGCACATGTAGTTTGACTATTTTGAGCGAATAATTCGACCTTTTGCAAACAAAAAGACGCCAAAGACACAATTCAGTACTGTCTATACAAAGTACCCTCTGGAAAAAAAGAAGAAAAAAAAACATCATGGGTTCAGGAAATTGTATGGATAGGAAGCATTATGTTCTGGTGCATGGGGCTTGCCATGGAGCTTGGTGTTGGTATAAGCTCAAGCCACTCTTGGAATCTGCAGGACACAAGGTCACAGTGCTTGATCTTGCAGCTTCTGGCATCAACATGAAGAGAATAGAAGATGTTGTTACTTTCTCAGAGTATTCTGAACCTTTGTTGCAGCTATTGGCCACACTTGCCCAAAATGAGAAGATAGTTCTAGTTGGCCACAGCCTTGGAGGACTCAGCATAGCACTTGCAATGGACAAATTCCCAGAAAAGGTAGCTGTTGCTGTTTTCTTAACAGCTGTAATTCCAGACACTGAACACAAACCATCCTATGTCTTGGAAAAGGTTTGCTTCTCATCCACTTCATCATGCTAAAAAAATTCCTCATTTTTTCCACCCCACGCAAGTGCTACCATTGAAATATGTCATCACATATATAGATTATCTTCATAAAATTTTATATCAATTTGAAATTATTTATTAGTTTGAAAATATATATTAAAATTAACAATGAAATTCATAAAATTAATACTATATATATAAAAAATTATATTTCGCTCCCCAAATTTGCATCAATGTTACTTAATCTGAAATCTCTGCCCTACAACATGAATCATGGAATTAAAGATGTAAGGAGCGATATTGTAATTTATCTTGGCAAATCCTTAGTTTCATAACCGATCGACACAGGAGGCAGCCTAACTTTTTCTAATTTATTACTATAAAATTTTTCCAAAATAAACACATCAATTCTTTTTTATTCTTCATGAAGCTAAGAGTAACAAAAGAAACATACTGCATTTTTTTTTTGTAAAGTATCTGAAAAAAAAAATTATGCAGATCTTATAGACAATCATTAAAAATAGTTAAATTTTCTTTAAGTTGTACCCTTTTATAGCTAGACCATGTGGCACATAATTTCCTTCCCTGAGGGTGTGCTAAAAGGCAAGGTTCCAATTTTGAGCCGTGTAGGAACCTATTTTTCCACTAAAGGAACAAGTAGATGAGTAATAATTACCCCTTCATGATTAAATCCAAAGCAGATTTGAAATCCGATTTACAAACTAAATTCTTTATTCTCCTTGACCAAGAATGCAAAGACCATTATAAATATTTCCTTGTACTCAACATTTATTCATATTGGTAGTTACTCCACATTGTCTGCAAAATCCTGTAAAGCCAACTATCCAATCTACACTATAATTTCTTATGACGCCACGAAGACCTGGTAAACCCGAAATAAATACATCAATTTGCATAGTAACAATTCTTTATTAGATATATAATTTAGGTGATTATTTTAGAATAAATGATAATATTATGGTAATGAGTCATTTATATATGATTATTTTTGAAAAACTTATTGACGTTAATAACAATTATCTGATAATTCATATAAAAAATTGATTAGTTGACAAAAATTATTCACACATGTTAAAATATAAGATCCGTTTGTTTAACTTATTAAAAAGAAATGATTTTAAGGAAGTGGTTTTTTAAAAAGTAAATTAGAGTAGGTTTTTAAAAAGCATAAAACTGCTAATTTTAAAAGAAAAAAAATTAAACACGTTAAAAATAAAAAAAAAATTTATATATATTTAATTTATTTTTTAAAAAAAAACATTTTTTAAGAGAAAAAAAAACTAGAACAAATTAACTTATCCACACTCTATTTTTTTTTTAGTGAAAGGATCATACTCTAATAGTAATATGTATACTCATTAAAGAAATCTTTAGTAGGTAATGCTTCGTTATTTAATTTATTTCAGTTAATATAGATTTTTTTAAAAGAAAATACATATTTAATATAAAAATTTTATGAATACATGTGAACAGTAAAGAATATTATATATTAATATTATAATGTACTGATAATATATATTTTTATATACTAAAAATTATTTTTTAATATAGAATGCCAATATATAAACCAAGAAAAAAGAGATTACCCGTGTCATTATATTTAAAAAAATATACAACAAAATATAAAAGAAAACAAATATCATGTTTGTAGGAAAAATAAGTGTAGTGCATAGTGACTTTGTTTTGAAAGTGACATCATTCTGTGATTTTATTTTCTAATTGAAAAATATAATTAATCACTTTTATAATATAAGAAGTAGAAATGTTAAAAGAAAATATGAAAAATAATAGTTATGGTTATAAATATAATTAATCACTTTGTTCTTATGGATGTAGTTCTTTGACTCATTCTTATCTTCTTCTTCTTTTTTTTGACGTTGTGTTAAAAAAAAAAAAAGATATTATTTATTAATGGTGTTGTGTAAGTTACTCCAACTAAAAATGAGGTTAAACAACTTTATAGAAATTATTTGTGCAATAATTCTTTTAAAGAAGGTTGGAGAAATGTTCTAATATTGCATCAATCATTCACATCGGGTTTATGTAACCTCATTTTGACTTTGTGAATCAACACATGCATTTACATCATGTGCAAAAAGAAAAAGAAAAATGGGAAAATTAGACCTAATTCTCGCCATTATTTGTTTACTTCGACAGTACATCGAGAGTATCCCGGCGGCAGATTGGTTGGACGCTGAATTCTACCTTAGTGGAAACAAAACAATAGTTGTTTTTGGACCCAAACTTTTGTCTCACAAACTATACCAAGCCTCCTCCATTGAGGTAATTACATATTCTTGTCCATATTTTCTAACTAGAGTATTGCATGCCCAAAATGTAACATGCTTTTTTTATGTTAGAGAAAATAAACACAAGGACTCATTTTGCAGGATATAGAATTGGCCAAGACTTTGTTAAGGCCAGGGTCCCTTTTTATTGAAGACTTGTCCCAGCAGAATAACTTCTCCAAAGAAGGATATGGTTCAGTTCCTCTTACTTTTATTATTTGTACCGAAGACCTTGGAGTTCCATTGAATTTCCAGCTTTGGATGATCCAAAATGCTGGAATCAAGGACGTTCTAGAGATTAAAGGTGCAGATCATATGCCTATGCTTAGCAAGCCCCAACAACTATGTGATTCTCTCCTGCATATAGCTAATAAATATGCATGAAGCTATGCAAACTTATCATTAGAATTGTACCCCAGTTGGTGAACAAATGAATATTTTCAAATAAATGTGGGTTCTGTGCATTGTTATGAATAAATCGTATTCACTAAAACCTTTTTTTCTTTTTTTCTTTTTTTATGGAATGAGTTGTGTATATTATTCAAAAATCAAAACTGTAAAGAGGCAATTTCCAAGATATCAGCAATGGCATTAGTTAGTACTTGATAAGGGATGTCCTAAACTCCATCATGAGTTATCCTTATAACTATATATTTCACTTTCTTACAATTTATTAACATCTCATTTTTTCTCTCCAAGTCTATATTTTTGTCAGATCACGTTTTCTCGCTACTTTTCCTTCCCTCTCTTTCACTTTGCTTCATAGGTTAAAAATATATGAAAAATTAGTGGGAGAGAGTTGAAATACTAATGAGAGAGAAGAAAGTGGGATCAAGTTAAGATGAAATAAGTGGAGAGGTTTTTGAAGTTAGTGGAACCTACTGTTTTATTTTCCTTGCTGCGATGAGTGGAAATAAAGAACAATTGGACTGGCACGTTCCTATGCTGAAAATAACCTCCCTGCACAATCGATTAAAAGCACCTTGTTGTAAGCAGATTTAATTGATTAACAACGTTGCACAATCAATTATAAACACACCCTTGCACAATGGTAGCCAACTCAATCAATTACACAAATTTAAGTGCACAATGCCACAATTCATTAAATGCTTATTATTAGTGCGATTTTTCCTCCTTTAATATCTATTTAAATAATGAGTTAATCATTCATACACTTTTAGTGTATTTTTATACTGATAACCAATCATATCTTTTAAATTTTTATTTAATTTTTTTTTGTAAAGATTACTTTTTTTTTTGGTAAAAAATATGATTGGTTATTAGTGTAAAAAAACTTTATACTAACCGTGTATAAGTGATTAACTCTTAAATAATTACAAAATGAGTTATAATTAAATTAGTTAAATACACACCTTAATGAAAGTTGTTTGATTTTTTTTTCCAATTTCTTCAACAAATAATTGTTCTTCATTATTAAAAAAAATATTTTGAATTCACTTAACAAGCAATTATTATGAGTTTCTTAAAATTCTTTAGAATTTTATTTATTAGAACAAAATTGCATATAAATTGTTTAGCAATGGCATAAAATAATAACAATCACCAATCACACATTTAAATATGTATTAAATAACTCGTGTGAATTGTTGATATTGAAATTTCCCTTAATACACACCAAAAGCATAATTATAATCCCATTTATATTTTAAGTTTTGTAGTTTTTTTCTAGTTGAATCAAACAATTTTATAATATTATTTTTTATAACATTTTTTATTTTTAAATTAAACAATTCAAAATTTCACTTTCTTTATTTATTTTTATCTATTTTTTTCACTCTATTTTATTATTGTTACAAAAAAGGTGTTATGTCCCTCATCCCACAATGGGGTGGTCATTTACAATTTTGCAAACGATAAGTTGGGTATTGAAGCTAGACAATTTCCTTGTCTTGTAGTGAACACTAGGATGCTAGAATTCTGTCATGATGAATAGTAGACACAATCGTGCAGGATTCCACTGGAAAAGCTACGCGAGCCACTATGTAAACGATGTCATTCATGAGCCATTTGTTGTTAAAAACTTTATTTTGGAAAATCCATTGATTTCTTTGGAACCAAATGACTTATATATACTGAAATAAACCCTAAGTTTTAAACCATAAATCCTAAATCTGAGTTTTGAAAAGGAAAAAAAAACCTTGTGCTATAATTACCTTTATAATGTTATAGGGTGTGAAAGTTATAAGACGGTAATAAAGTGTGCGGTTTATATTTTTGATAAATAATAATTTTTATTTAAATTAATAAAGTAAAATTATTGAATTATTTTACATAAAAATAAAGTGTATATTTATTACAATAAATAAAAGATAAAATCATCTTAAAAATTATCAACACGAAAATAATGAACTAACTTAATATATTAATATATGTAATCGTAAATCCACTTTTATATATATATATATATATATATATATACTATTTTTGT